TGTATTTTGGATAGGAGTCATTCCCTTGTTCAAATTTAAATTTAATTTAAATCAAAGTGAAAATATTCATTGGGGGCGCCCCCAGGGAACAGCCTTTGATCAAAATGAAATATACCTATCCAAGTACCCTAGAAGATATTCCCTTATTCAAATTTAAATTTAATTTATATCAAAGGGAAAAAATTTCAGTGAAGGGTTTGTGCTCCAGGAGAGTCCCTTTTATCAAAATGAAATAAACTTATCCAAGTACATTTGATAATGTAGTTTCAGAATATATATGGCGATGGGGTTCAACCTTTTGCTAACAATGTGCTGACTTAAGGTTTTAAAATCATTCAGTGTGCCAACAGGATACGTATTTTTATACAAGTCAAAATCAACCTGTTCTATAATAGATTTTATATAGTAATATAAAGTATATATACTTTAGTATGTATTAAAATTGAATAGAGGTGGCGTTAGGGGTTTGGTAAAACGGAGTGTGAGGGTCAGTACAAAAAATAAATAATCCTTGCTATGAGTTAAAAATGATACGACATTGTGAAAAGCCAAGACATCCTACTTCTCAAAGGGACACTGTATATAGAAGAAACAAAATGATAATTTATCATATCTCAAAAACAGAATATCATTAAATTGTTATCAAACGTTAAAAGGGCAAGGAATCTTTCGGGAATATAACTGAAATATCTTTAAATATATAATAGACTAATAGCAACTTTTTGCTATCTTTGTGTCGACTTAGGGTTTTAAAATCATTCCATGTAGTAACAGCATACGTATTTTTTACACAAGTCAAGATCAATATACCTGTTCTACAATAGATTTTATATAGTAATATATATATAATATATATATATATATATATATATATATATATATATATATATATATATATATATATATTAAAAATTGAAACGAGATGGCGTTAAGGGTTGGTAAAGCAGGAGTTAGTAAAAAAAAATATCCTTGCTATGAGTTACAAATGATACGACGTTTTGAAAAGCCATGAACGCCCACTTGTTCTCAAAGGGACACTGTATATAGAAGAAACAAAATGATAACTTATCACATCTCAACTACAGATAATCATTAGATTGTTATCACAACTTTAAATACCTGATGGATATCATTATTAATTTGACTCAGGACAGCAAGATCTCGTTATCTGCGGTAAACATTTTCTCAGCGGATAAGAGTGAACCATCTAAATATCAACAAAAAGCCCTTCACACAATCTATCTACTCAAAGGGTCGGCAACCTTTTGTTAACTATGTACCTAATTAGGGTTTTAAAATCATTCAGTGTGCCAACAGCATAGGTATTTTTATACAAGTCAAGGTCAATATACCTGGTCTACAATATATTTTATATATTAATACAGTGTAACCCGGATATAAGAGACCCGGATATAAGAGAAACCCGGATATAAGAGAGATTTTTTCTGGTCCCAAATTAGAGCCTGTGTTAATGTATATAAAATAGACCAAACCCGGATATAAGAGAAACCCGGATATAAGAGACTTCTTCTCGGGTCCCGACAACTCTCTTATATCCGGGTTACACTGTATATAGATATATTTACTTTAGTATATATTTAAAAAAAACTAACGATTTTGAAAAAAATAATTTGGTCTACTTATTAATAATGTCAAGGGGCAACTTACAAATTCAGTTCAATATCACGGTTGCAAAATCGATCTGTCCTAGTAGACATGTATATTATAATTTCATTAGATAGAACTAAAAATATTATGAATCACCACAAAGCAAATATATACTATTTTTTAGTACTGTATTCGATAAAATAAAACCGTAAAAAATGTAAAAGATTACAAAAAGGCACATTAATTAAATTACTCTTATAAATTGCCCTGGGCACCTCGGCGTGGTGTAGTGGTTAGCAAGGTTGTCTTGCTAGGTCAGTTACTACTGAAAAATGAGTTCGATCCTCAGTGGATGCCACGTACTTCCGGCCTTGTGCTACATCTAAGCTACGTTTGGAAAATCTTTTCTGGGCACCTCGAGGCAGTGTCATGGTTAGCAAGCTAGTCTCGCTAGAACAATTACGACTAAGTGGTGAGTTCGATCCTCACTGAGTGCCCCATACTTTCGGCCTTGTGCCACATCTAAGCTACGCTTGGAAAATCACTATTGGGCACCTCGGCGTGGTGTAATGGTTAACAAGCTTGTCTCGCAAAAACTGTTACGACTGAATAGTGAGTCCGATCCTCATTGGGTGCCCCATACTTTCGGCCTTGTGCCACATCTAAGCAATGCTTAGAAAATCAATACTCTTATAAATTGACCTGATTAATTAAGTAAAAATAAATGTTTACTTATCTAATGGACAACATTTTTATAGCCTCTTCCCTCATCTCCTACTCATCAGACGTCAACATTAAGAAAGGAATATTTTCTGGAAGCAAGGCAAAAGCATCGTACTGTATTTTTTTTTTAATACAACCTTTTATATTTCAGTCGACCGTCGCTTCATTCTCTGGACCTTGTTGAAGATTGTTGCTTATGAAATTTATTATCCCTTTTATCTTTAAGCCATCTAAATCCATATATTTCAATTATTTGCAGCGGAAACGTCTGGCTAGCTAAATGGTATAACACGGCAGACTATATGGTGGTTCTGTGTAGGGTACAGGTTCGATTGCTGTCGGAGGACACATTTTCTTTGTGATTTCTCGAACATTCAGTTCAGTAAATGCTGTTAATACTGTTTATTATAAACAGAGTAGGTACTTAAATACTTTTACCTGTAAAAATAATCTATAAAGAAAACATATTAAAATAAATGTCGGACTTAGTCCATTTCATAATATATGTCATTTGATGACGTAAAGATACGCTTCGAGCGGATATGAGCGTTCGAGAGAAATCATGGGAAAATGTGTATTTTAAAAACAGTACTTTAACTTTGATAATCAGATGCTTCCTCTGTAGCTAAATGGAATAGCACGTAAGGCGAAATGGCGGTTCTTTACAGGTTCGATTCCTGTTGGAGGACACATATTTTCTGTGAAATTTCTCGGACATTTAGTTTGATAAATCTTATTAATAATGTTTATTATAAATAGAGCATTTACTTAAATATTTGTATCTATAAAAAGAAAGCATAAATAAAAAATATAATAAAATAATTATCGGGTCCGTTTCATATATATATATATATATATATATATATATATATATATATATACTAGCAGCATGGCCCGGCGTTGCCTGTGCTTGATTTAAAAATCGTACTACTCATCAATCGACTTAAAATATTTTTGCCCTTCCTTGCCTTTAAAGGAGTGCCCTTTGAACGTGCTGATGTTGCTACATGCCTTACTTCTTGCTTATCTCACACTGCGAATTTTTCTAAGCTCTATACTAAACATTAAATCTGTTACGAAAAAAGAACTAAACAAAATGAACACAAAACGATCAGCTTTAAAAAAAGGACTCGTAACTGGAAAAACAGAATGAAAAAAAGAATGTTAACAACAAATACTTTTTCACACCCAACCCAGTTCTGCAGAATCAGAATCAACGTTGAGTTTAAGCAAGCGAATGAGCTAATTGGAGTAAAGTGCCATGCAGATTTAAATTTTCCCACTTGTTACGAATGCAGATATCGATTTTTTTTGTATGCTAGCATGCTAGTTAACATTCGTGTCAGTCAGCTGTTAGCTCTCACGCTGGCCAATAGAATCTTCCTGCCTATTCATGGCAGCCAGCTATAGGCTCTCACTCTGGCCAGTAGAAAATGGCCGCAAACTACATGAAAACTGGCGTAGAGGCGTGAAAAAATCGATTATTTCCACTATCGATGGGGTTTTGGGAAATGCAAAGTCGGTCTGGGCCTTTACACTAACTTGGAGCATGCGCATGTAAATTTTGGTGCAAATCCGTCGAAAATTGCGGCCGTGCATTCGTTACACACACATCCTGCCTTTTATATATATATATATATATATATATATATATATATATATAAATTTATTTATATATATATATAGAGAGAGAGATAATATTAGTAGTAAATATATACATACATATGCAATGATATATCTAAAATATATAAATGTATATACATACATACATACATACATATATATTTGTATAAAAAATAAATCCAAGAGGATAGAATCCAGGTAGAACTCAATGTCCGAGACAGAGTAAGAATATAATAAATATTAGTGTTTAAGCTTTTTTATTATATATATATATATATATATATATATATATATATATATATATTTCAATTATACATTTTAAAGTACTTTCAGTGATTACCATAATGAAACTCCTTAATTTTTAACCTAAACTTAAATTTTAAACTCGTTTCCTAATAAATCAGTTAATATTTGGAAAAAGATATTTTGTGCCATTATTTATCATGTCAAACACCAATTTTCAAATCGAGTGCAACAGTACATTTTCAAAATTGACCTGCCCTGTTCGGACGTCACTCCTTGATGTTGAACTAACATTAGCTGTGACTACTACTGCAATTCCAAAGAAATAAAAGCGTATTTCGAATGATCAAACAAACAAATTGAATAATATGCACACAGTCCAAATTAAAACACTTGACAAATGCGAGTTAAATGTTTTTGCATTCCTTTCTTGTTAGACGTCGTTACAACTAAGCTTTCATCGCCATTTTACTAACGTTTCCCGCCCAAAGTTTTATTGTCATAATCAGCGGAAACTCTTTAGACCAGCAAAGCTTTTTGGAGGTAATTAGCATCAAATCGGAGATCCAGTCTTTCAGAATGTTACTGCTGTTAACCTTATTATTTCATTCCATGTTTTTCTTTCCTTTATTAATGATTTTTTATTGTTTTGTTTTACAGGACGCATCGCCATTTTCAGTGGCAAAACAAAAAAGACTGTTTGCTATTAATCTTAAAAACGACTTTTAAAAAAAAATTCTTTCTTATCATTTTTGCAATGACCGAATGAATTTACTTTTGGTTGATAATTGGTTCGTGAGAGTTTAAAAATGATTCTTTTTTGGTGGACGGGATATACATTTACGGAAATTGTTAGCGAGATTGTCGGTCAAAATATTGCTATCGGGATTTAAGTTCGATATAGCAAGAAAGAAAGTGATGCAAATACGAATAAACGAAAAAAGAAAGAAAGATGCAAATAGAAAGAAAGAAAGAAAGAAAGAAAGAAAGAAGAAACAGAAGGAAGCACGAAGAAAGAAAGATAGAACAAAACAGAAAAAGAAAACACACATGAAAAAGAAAGTACGATAAAAGATAACACAAAGAAAGAAAGAAAGAAAGAACGAACGGGAAAAGATATTACTAAGAAAGAAAGAAAGAAAGAAAGAAAGAAAGAAAGACGTGAGAAGGCTAACACAAAGAAAGAAAGAAAGAAAGAACGAACGGGAAAAGATATTACTAAGAAAGAAAGAAAGAAAGAAAGAAAGAAAGAAAGACGTGAGAAGGTTAACACAAAGAAAGAAAGAAAGAAAGAAAGAAAGAAAGAAAGAAAGAAAGAAAGAAAGACGTGAGAAGGTTAACACAAAGAAAGAAAGAAAGAAAGAAAGAAAGAACGGAAAAGATAACACAAAAAAGAAAGAAACACAAAAGAAAACACGTAGAAAGAAAGAAAGAAAAAAGAAAGAAAGAAAGAAAGAAAGAATGAAAGAAAGAAAAAAGAAAGAAAGAAAGGAAAAGAAAGAAAGGAAGAAATAAAGAACGGAAAAAATAACACAAAAAGAAAGAAACACAAAAGACAACACGTAGAAAGAAAGAAAGAAAGAAAGAAAGAAAGAAAGAAAGAAAGAAAGAAAGAAAGAGAAAGAAAGAAAGAAAAAAGAAAGAAAAAAGAAATAAAGAACGGAAAAGTTAACACAAAAAAGAAAGAAACACAAAAGAAAACACGTAGAAAGAAAGAAAGAAAGAAAGAAAGAAAGAAAGAAAAAAGAAAGAAAGGAAGAAATAAAGAACGGAAAAGATAACACAAAAAAGAAAGAAACAAAAGAAAACACGTAGAAAGAAAGAAAGAAAGAAAGAAAGAAAGAAAGAAAGAAAGAAAGAAAGAAAGAGAAAGAAAGAAAGAAAAAAGAAAGAAAAAAGAAATAATGAACGGAAAAGTTAACACAAAAAAGAAAGAAACACAAAAGAAAACACGTAGAAAGAAAGAAAGAAAGAAAGAAAGAAAGAAAGAAAGAAAGAAAGAAAGAAAGAAAAAGATAAACAACAAAGAAAGAAACACAAAAGAAAACACGTAGAAAGAAAGAAAGAAAGAAAGAAAGAAAGAAAGAAAGAAGAAAGAAAGAAAGAAAGAAAGAAAGAAAGAAAGAAAGAAAGAAAGAAAGAACGGGAAAAGATAGCATAAAAAAGAAAAAAGAACGGAAAAGATAATGCTAAGAAAGAAACAATAAAAGAAAGAAAGACGTGAAAAGGTTAACACAAAGAAAGAAAGAAAGAAAGAAAGAAAGAAAGAAAGAACGGAAAAGATAATACAAAAAAGAAAGAAACACAAAAGAAAACACGTAGCAAGAAAGAAAGAAAGAAAGAAAGAAAGAAAGAAAGAAAGAAAGAAAGAAGAAACGGAAAAAGGATAACAAAAGTAAGAAAGAAAGAAAGAATCAAACAAACAAACAAACAAACGGAAAAAAGATAACACAATGATGCAAAATCAAAGACAGAACCCAATGAATAAATAAATGCAAAGAAAATAATTGAGATAGATAACGAGTAAGAATGTACAAGTGATAGGATTTTGTTGATAGCCATCTTTGCCCAAATCCTGAAGGAATATGGCACAGAGAAGAAAAAAAAACTAATAAGAGTCTTTAGAATTTCTAGACTTTTCTATCCACATAAAAACAATAATCGCTGCCCCTTCGATCGTGGCCTATCGCGCGACATTAACGAAGACCGTTGTAATGGTGTTGCTTTTGAATATGCATTTTATTTTCTACCAAGCCAAAAACATAGTTTGCCACTGATCCTGCATGTATGTTTCACAGCAAATCCAATATTTTTTATTGGGTATCGCCCCAAGCAAGGCAGTAAAGCCTTTAAGTGGCAAGGGGTTACAGTGTGTGGAAGAATTAGGAAGAGAAACATTAATAATGAGCGGAAAGGGGAAAGAACAATCACGAGGACAGTAGATAGCGATTGACATTGCATTTAAATATTTTCAAATTAAAGCTGAGCGGAAAGCATGAAATCTGAAGATAGTTCCACAAGCGAGAAGTGCGATAGAAGAAACTGTTAGCATAGAACTTACGGTTACATCTAGCCAGCTCAACTATTTACAAATGGATCTCGACGCCAGTCTAGTACTGCGTTTAAATTCATAAAGTCTGGGTACCATCGCGAAGAGCATTATTTATTCGTAAAATTACAACGTGTGGCACAAGGCCAAAATGGAGAATGAGGAAAAAAGGATGATTTTCTTCTGTCTTAATATTAAACTTAGCTAGCCACAATCACTGACCCAAACATACAATTCTTAACAACGCATTCTTACCTACCTTACTTGTTACATACACCATAATAACACATTGTCTCTATGAACGTCCTAACTAGACCCCATATGTACAATACACCACGAAGAGTTCATTCGAACAATTCCCATGAAAGTATTTATTTAAAAAAAAAGCAACCTTACGGCGGTCGGTAATTGAAAAGTGACTGAAGCCGAGTCGCCACATCAGGTCCAATACTATTGCTGATTCTTCTTTGTATCTAATAGATCTAAAACAACTCCAAACCATTATCATTTGTATGAATGATATTCAGTGAGCAGTTTGTTTTTGATTTTGTCGACTGCAGAGTATCGTAGGATCAGTAGGGCGCCATCTGTGAGAAAAAGAGCACCATGACGCAATTAACCCTGCCAGAAATTTGAAAAACGGCATGCTGTACTGCTTGGCACTCGCACCGAAAGCTTCAATATGAACACTTCAGTATGTTTGGGTGTCAATCTGAGGAGAGTGCAGAGAATTTGAAAAGAGTTAATGGTGATTACGGCAGGCTGGAAATTTCACTCTGATAATAAAAGAAACGCCGGATTTGACGTTGAGGGCCTCAGACTCAACACGGAGGCCTTCATCAAGTTGCCTTGAGGAGGTAGTACTGCCCTAGGTTAAGTGAGTGTCTACTGGAGGCCATTATGTCTGGCAACAGGACTCTGCACCATGCCATATAAGCCGGAGAACCCAATCATGGCTGCCAGACAATTTCAGTGGCCCTATCGCCACTTAAATCTGAATAACTATTATGTGTTGAGGGTAGTTGAGTGAAAATCCAACAAAACTCCTTATAAAGACCAAAGATGATCTGAACGCAAGGATTATGGCAATATTCAGCAACTTAAACAAGGAGATCATCCAGAAGAGTTGCAGGAGATTCCGAAGTCATTTGGAGACTGTGGTTGAAGTCAATGGCGATTTTATTGAATAACTTTACTCTTTCGTATTTAAAGATATTTTTTTGCAATTTTGATAAATATATCTGTTAAAATGAGATATCAGTGTTATTTTCATGTTTTCGTAATTTAGGCGACAATTTATCTATCGCACCATGTAATTACACACACACACACACACACACACACACATATATATATATATATATATATATATATATATATATATATATATATGCTGTTTACTCCTGTCTTAAAAGCAAGACATGTCCAACAAAAAGAAAAACTAGCAACACTTCTCAAAAACCCTTTAGTATTTCAAGATAATATTGTATATTTGGAAAATATATCTGTCAAAATGAGATGTCAGTGTTATTTTCATTCTGACGTCATTTAGACTACAATTTATCCATCGCAGCCTGTATATCTGTTAAAATGAGATGCTAGTGTTATTTTCAGTACCTCATAAATAATGGGTTACTTTGTTTTGATCAAATGTGAAAAGGTAAAAGACACTACTTGGTTTCAGTTTGAAAATGAAAGAAAGAAAGAAAAGTAGAAACGGAGTAAGACGTTTTTAAGGTTTCCTGTCAATACCTCATAAATAATGGACTATTCCGTTTTGATTACTCGAGAAAATGAAAGAAAGAAAGAAAAGCTGACAGCAAGATTAGAAAGAAAGAAAGAAAGAAAGAAAGAAAGAAAGAAAGAAAGAAAGAAAGAAAGAAAGAAAGAAAGAAAGAAAGAAAGAAAGAAAGAAAGAAAGAAAGAAAGACAAATAATAGTTACTGAAAAGATTAGATTAAATGGCAGGAAGGACTCTATGGCTATGAACAAGATTAGAAAGAAAGAAAGAAAGAAAGAAAGAAAGAAAGAAAGAAAAAAGAAAGAAAGAAAGAAAGAAAGAAAGAAAGAAAAACTGATAGCTATGAACAAGATTGTGATGAAAGGAAGAAAGGAAGAAAAAAGAAAGAAAGAAAAAGAAAGTAAAAAGAAAACCTGACAGCTAGGGATAAAATTAAAAAGAACGAAAGAAAAACTGACTGCTATGAACAAGATTAGAAAGAAAGAAAGAAAGAAAGAAGGAAAGAAAGAAAGAAAGAAGTCGAAGCGAAAAAGAAAGAAAGAAAGAAAGAAAGAAAGAAAGAAAGAAAGAAAGAAATATTGCAATTACAGAAATCAAAGAGAATTCAAGAAAAAAAACTTCTGGAATGAACTTCGCAAATGGAAGGTAAGTTCTTCGATTGTTGGCTGCAATTGATGAGACGAACACAAATTGCAAGTGTCGTCATCATTCGTTTTGTCTCTTTTTGGGGGTTTCACCAATTCTTTTGTTTTATTCCCCCTTTTTTGCCACCCGTACTCTCCTCACAATCGATCGATGATAAAATTCTATGTCTAATATTCTCGCTTTCAATGCTTCTAACAAAACCCAGGCATCGTTAACCGTGCAACGTATAATTCGCTCGTTTTCGTCATTGTGTTTCTTTTCTGGCGTCTTCCATTGATTACGCATATTTTTGGTTTCTTTGCGTGAACGTTCTCCGGTAATTGTCTTTCTCGGCACACATTTCTATCTTTTCAACCGACCAAAGACCAAAGAAAATACGCGATTTTATCTAGTTTCTTTATACCTATAGTCGTACAAAAATCAATGCGTCCGTATCCAGGTTTGATGTCTTTCTAACTTCTGAAGATTTTATATTTACAGTTTATTCCGACGCCAAACAAAAAAAAAAAAAAAAAAAATTCCCAATTTCATCGACCTTTCACCAAAATACGCTGGAAACGCCATATTTTGTAGACCTGAGGCCATTGCAAATGGGCAGTGCTTATACTAATGAACTACCTATAAAATGCCCGAGAACAATTCAAGGCTGTGGGTTAATGTGTAGCATTTATGACCTTAACGAAAGACAGGAAGTGGAATTTATGTGGTTATGTAGAAAAATTAAAAAAAAAGTTAACCCTTGATGTGCAGAGGTCAAGTTTGGAGTGATTGGGAAAACATCACGCTGAGAGTCTTTCCCAAAAGGCTGCATTTCTTGGGAAGAAGCTGTCTGACAGGATCTTATCACTATTGGCATACGAAAGAAACTGGCTCCTTCCTATTGGAATACGAAAGGAAAAGATAACGGTTAACCCTAGACTTGAAGAGGTGAAGTTTGTAGTGATTGGGAAAACATCCTGCCGGGAGTCTGTTCTACAAAGCAGCAGTTCTTGGGAAGAAGCTGTCCAAATGGAACTTACTTCTTACTATTGGAATACGAAAGGAAATGATAACAGTTAACCCTAGACTTGAAGATGTCAAGATTGTCGTGATTGGGAAAACATCCTGCCGAGAGTCTGTTCTACAATGCAGCAGTTCTTGGGAAGAAGCTGTCCGATTGGAACTTACTTCTTACTATGGCAATACGAAAGGAAGAGATAACGGTTAACCCTAGACTTAGAGGGTCCATGATTGTAATGATTGGCAATATATCCTACCAGGAGTCTGTTCCTCGAAGCTGTAGACCTTGTAAAGAAGCTGTCCGAATGGAACTTCTTCCTTACGAATGAAATACGAAGAAAATGTTAATGATTTATCCTTATGTACGTATCTTGGCGGGCCCCGGTTGCAAAAGTCAGAGTTGGTTGAATCAAGAAATGCACCTCGTCAGTGATGCAATAAATATATTTCGTATCCTATGTCATTTTATAAATATATTTTATGCCATATGTCATTTATATAAATATATTTGGTATCCTATGTCATTTTATAAATATATTTGATGCCGTGTGTCATTTTATAAATATATTTGGCACCCTATGTCATTTTTATAATCCTACATACTTTCATTTAAAATGTGTTCCATCATTATGGGACAACATTTATAAGTTATTTGTAGATTTTAATACGAAGATATAGTGAATGACGTTCTGTTCTTCGGGTATCAACAAAAGTGAAGAATCTAAGCCACGAGAGGCAGGCTAAAGGAGCTTACCTGAATCATTAAGGTCTGCCAAAGTTAGAGTGATAATTTAGGCCTATCAGGTAGGCAAGATTTACCGAATATTAACCACTTCACAAAAGTTTACCTGTATATAGATTTTCTTTTTATATATGGAAATTTGTTTATTGAACTACGATATTCTGGCGTTCTACTGAATTTTTGTTTATTGAAGTTTGCATCAGTTTATTTACTTAATAATTAATTTATTGTACATGTGCCGTATATACTCGTTGATAAGGCGCTAAATTTTCTTATGTGAATTTTAACCACTCCAGAAAAAAACATTACTTGTGTATGGTGCAACCGCTCACCTAAAATGCATAATTTTTAACTATCAAACGGTGAGAGATGTCAACTTAATAATCAATAATTTTTTTTTAAAGAGATTAAAAAAAAAAGATTACTAGAAGTAAACTTATATTTTATATTAAAATTTTATTCTTTTAATGTACTTTCTATGAATATTTTTCTAATCGACTATTTCATAAAAAATCCCCAAAATTTTAATAAAATTTAAATCACTAACAAACATCAAATTAAATCATTTGTAGACAGTTTAGAGCCATTCAAATTTATATCAAACATTATAATCTTTATGAACCCCCAAAATAACACTTTCAGAGTAAAGTACAATAACAGCGTCTGTTTCTAAGTTTTTTTACAAAGAAAATTAGTGACACTTTCTCTCATAATTTCCTTCTCTCTTTTTCTCTCTATGGGTTTTTTCTTCTCTAGCCCTTCGATATCAATATATAACTTCCGTTAAGTTAACCGTTTAAATGTGTCAATATCTGCTAACTCACTCCTGTCTTCACTCTCCCCCATCACTTCCTCACTTCGTTAATTTACATATGTTTAATACGGCCCGTCAAAAATCTGTAAATTTTCTTTTCATTTTTTGTTTGGAAGTAAAGTCTGATGATTTATTACATGGAACCTTAAAGTGGTCTGTTTTTATTTCAATTATTTGCTCTGCATTTACATTGAGCTCTCTGGATTTTATCCTCCTTAGGTTTACCCATACGGATTACCTAGTTTTTCATAAACTAACTAACTAACTAACTAACTATATATATATATATATATATGATTGTTGTATACGGAATAAATTCCAATAAGCAAAAATACTATTCTTAAAAGAGTGCTCAATACAGAGTAGAGCAAATATAATTATTTATTCAGAAATTGATCATGAAAACTCGTACTGCACTCAATTGTTATACGTTATTTATTTATACACAAATATTTAGGCAAATTCTCTGTTTATAATAAACAATATTAACAACATTTACCGGCCTCAACGTCCGAGAAATTTAATAGAAAATAAGCGTCCTCTGACAGGAATCGAATCTTGTACTACACGGAACAATCATGTAGCCTAACGTGCTATACCAGTTTAGGTAACCAGACGCTCCTTCGTATGTTAAACTGGCATAGCATTGTCTGACAGACATGATTGGGTTCTCTTGCTTATGTAGGTCTTCCAGTAGCCAACCTCTTGACCCAGGGCAACACTACCATCATCACGTGATATAGTCCTCCGTGCTGAATCTGAGATTCCATCGTCATCACTAGTGGTCATACCAAACACCTTCGTAATTACGATTAGAGTCATCCTTCTCTTTCCGAATCATCTGCAATGTCGATGCAGGCCTCCGTGTTGAGTCTGAGACCCTTAGATTCGGATCTTCTTATCGGAACACTCAGGGTGTGTTTGCCGAGCTGCCCTACCTTCGTGATCACCGTTAACTCTTCTTGAATGCTCTGCACTCTCCTCAGATTGAATCCCAAACCCGCTGAAATATTCCTATTGGAGCTTCCGGTGCGAATGCCAAGCAGTACACCACGCCGTTTCCAAAATTCTGGCGGATTTAATTGCGTCATCGTGTTTTTTTTTTTTCTCACAGATGGTGCCCGACTGATTGTATTATCGAAAAAATCAAAAACAAACAACGCTAAAAGATAAAACGGCGACAATTTGCCGATTACTCCCTGTATATGATATTCAAGTTTAATAATTCGTAAATATTTGTATCTCTATAAAATTTATAAAAGTCCGCTATAAAAATAATAATGTAAAAGAATGTATATGTATATGTTTTAAAATTGAAAAGAATGAAGATTTTCAATAATATATGTTCATATAATTAGGTCGCCCTGGGCATGACGATGAACTACATCCTGCAGCAATATTAGAGATTTTGAGGAATGTAGAACCACTCCTTAATTGCTGTTGTTTCCGGGTCCACTTTGACTTCGGGTTGTAGCACCTGTTAGGGTCACAGCTATGGGCATATAGTTAGCTCTCCAAACAAAAGCAAAACATTATGAAAGTATTAAAAATACATTTTTGAAGCAAAAGTGCAATGTATTTGTATTTTTTTACCAGAAAAACATTAAAAAACCTATTACCTTCAATTCATTTTTATAAGGAAAAAATTACCAATAATACATATTTAAAAAAAGAAAAGAAAATAATATTACCAGCTGTACATTTTTATTATAAAAAAGGCTAGTACCTACAATACGAATCTGCAAAGATTTCAAGGCAATATCAAGCCCTAACTACTGTCCTTCTTACTCCTTACTCTTTTCTCTTTCCGCTCATTAATGTTTCTGTTCCTAATTCTTCCACACCCTGTAACTCCTCGTGTCTTAGTGGCTTTACTGCCTTGATTATGGAACTCTCTTCCAGCTCCATGCTTTCCAGCCAACATTACGATTCGAAAATTTAAATGCAATGTCAATCGCTATCTACTGTTCTCCTGATTAATCTTTTCTCTTCGCGTTCATTATTAATGTTTCTCTTCTTAATTCCTCCACACCCTGTAAACCCTTGCGTCTTAGTGGCTTTACTGCCTTGCTTATGGAACTCCCTTCCGGCTCCATGCTTTCCAGCCAAATTTAATCTTCAAATATTTCAATGCAATGTCAATTACTATCTACTGTTCTCCTGATTACTCTTTCCTCTTCCCACTCATTATTAATGCTTCTGTTCCTAATTCTTCCCCACCCAGTAACCCCTTGTGTCTTAGTGGCTTTAATGCCTTGCTTATAGAACTCTCTTCCGGCTCCATGCTTTCCAGCCAACTTTAAGATTCGAAAATTTAAATGCAATGTCAATCGCTATCTACTGTTCTGATTAATCTTTTCTCTTCCCGTTCATTATTAATATTACTCTTCTTCTTCCACCCTGTAAACCTTTTGTCTTATTGGTCTTTATTTATGGAAATCCATTTTGCCTTCATGCTTTCTAGCCAACTTTAAATATTTAAATGCAATGTCAATCGCTATCTACTGTCCTCCTGATTACTCTTTTTCTTCCCACTCATTATTAATGCTTCTGTTCCTAATTTTCCCCACCCAGTAACCTTTTGTGTCTTAGTGGCTTTTAATGCCTTGCTTATAGAACTCTTCCGGCTCCATGCTTTCCAGCCAACTTTAAGATCGAAAATTTAAATGCAATGTCAATCGCTATCTACTGTTCTGATTAATCTTTTCTCTTCCCGTTCATTATTAATATTACTCTTCTTCTTCCACACCCTGTAAACCTTTGTGTCTTATTGGCTTTACTGCTTTATTTATGGAAATCCATTTTGCCTTCATGCTTTCTAGCCAACTTTAAATATTTAAATGCAATGTCAATCGCTATCTACTGTCCTCCTGATTACTCTTTTCTCTTCCCGTTCATTATGAATGTTTCTGTTCCTAATTCTTCTACACCCAGTAACCCCTTGTGTCTTAGTGGCTTTACTGCTTTGCTTTTTGAATTCCCTTCCGCCTCCATGCTTTCCAGCCAACTTTAATCTTCAAATATTTAAATGCAATGTCAATCGCTATCTATTGTCTTCCTGATTACTTTTTCCACTCCCTGCTCATTATTAATGTTTCTGTTCTTATTTCTTCCACACCCATCAACTCCTTGTGTCTTAGTGGCTTTACTGCCTTGCTTATGGAACTCCCTTCCGGCTCCATGCTTTCCAGCCAAATTTAATCTTTAATTATTTAAATGCAATGTCATTCGCTATCTACTGTCCTCCTGATTACTCTTTTCTCTTCCCGTTCGTTATTAATGTTTCTGTTCCTAATTCTTCCACATCCTGTAACTCCTTGTGTCTTAGTTGATGCACTGTCTTATATAAGGTTATACATTTTTTGCAAAAGAAAAAATATCAGAAATACATTTTTGAAGAAAAAAATTCAAATTATTCAGAGAGAGAGAATATTCGTTTTTAAGATAAGTCGGAGGAAAGTCACTGAAACAGTCAGCCATCTTTCCATTGCCCGCATCGAGGCTGGCTTACGGTGATTCGTTTATTCGAAAGAGAGTTACCGTTCTTGATTCGCCTGCTCAAGCCTCTCATCTCAATTGCAAACGCTGGAAAAGAATGAGCGCTCGTTAACTTCGTAAATCAGCAATTATCAGCTAAAATGATTGTTGTTCGTCTCTTTGTTTGCTTCTCTTTTTTTTAATACAAAGAATCTTTTTTTTTAAACACTCTTTGTTTCCTTCTCACTGCTGCTCTTTCTCTTTCTTTCTAGTCGACGTTTTAATGAGTCAATCGGAAAGATCGGATTTAATGTTACTTATTTAAAAAAATAAATCATTTAACTCTGTTTTTTTTATCGTTCTTTTTACTTTATTTTGTTTGTATGCTTTCGTGAATTCCGTCTTTTACTGTCTTTTTCCCATAGTTGACAATAATTATCCCAAGTTTACATGTCGTTATGACCTTTTCCTAGAATGACACCATAGACTAGAAATTGACTCAGCTTAGATTAGTGTGATACAATAATAATTTCGTCTGTGAATAATCCCAGTTGATGGCAAAATAGACTTCGCACTCACTGTCATACCAGAACATTAGAGAAGACAGCTGTATCGGCGAGTTGGACTGAAAGGTAACCGCCTAACCGCCCGCTGCAGATTTGTGTTTTCAATAGAGCCCAGTAGTAGCTCAAACAAGCCGTTGTTTCTTTTGCATAATAATGGCTTAAATCAGGATCCGCAAACGTTTTTTGCTCATTACCCCATATAACCCTCCCAGAATGTCATTCCCCGCACCTTTACAAGACTAATTATGTAGATTCTAAATAAATATATATTATTATTAATTATCATTATTTTTACCATATTAGTGCGTATACATTTCCATGGATTATTTTTTATAGAAGAGTTTTATAAATTTAATAGCAATAGAAAACGATGACGGATTTTTAAAAACTCGAATATCGTATATACTCGTGTGTAGTACGAACTTTACGATCAGTTTTTATGCCAAAAATAGGGAATCACAAGGTTCCCAAACGACCCTCCACAGGTTTTGAATTCAGAGTTGTCCTTCTCCTAGACCAGTTGCCATCCAAGGCTATAGAACCCAGTCTGTCCATAGCTGGAGGGAGAAGAAGAGGATTCACACTTTTCCCAAGGGTATTAGCACGTAAGTGAATGTAATGGACTCGACTGGAATTCGAACTCGGCTTTTGCGATTCCTCAATCAAAGCCGCTATCCATTAGTCCACCGTGCCTCCTTCACAACACTCACAGGCACAATCAAAGCAAATCGGCCAAACACCTTGTTTAGAGACCACAAAGAGAAAAAGTCCTTGATTATTGATATGGCATTCTCTGCAGACTGCAATGTATATCTGGAGATCTTCAAAAAACTATCAAAATACAAGGACCTTGAAATCGAAATCTGAAAACTGTTAAATAAAAAGTCTGATAGTCCGGCAGTCTCCCATGGGGTGGAAAGTGACTACTGTTTTTTCGTTTCCTGGGAACTCCGCGCGCCGGCTGAAGATGGCTGGCGTACCGGCAGACGATCGCACGCGCACCGCCAGAAGATGGCTCGCGTAACGCATGACGATCGCTCGCGTACTGGCAGACGATGACTCGCGTGACGGCAGACGATGGCTCGCGTAACGCCAGACGATGGTTCGCGTACCAGCAGACAATGGCCCGCGTATTGACGCCGATAAGCGTACCACAGTTTAAGTGATACTGTTATAAAGTAGCTATAACCTTCTTTATTTTCTTTTTTTTTCTCCTTCAGTAAGTCAAGTGCTATATATTTTTCGATTCACGACAGACTGGGAAGTGATTTTCTCGCAGCAGGTTGCTGTTTCTTTCTGCGGTAGACTAGCTATAGGACCCAGTCTGTCCTGCTATTTAATCCATAGATGGGTGTGAGACTGCCAAGTTCATACATTTCCCAAGTTTATTTGTGCATATGTGAATATAACAAACTCGACTGGAACTCGAACTCGGCTCTCAAAATTTTTATTCTGAGCCGATATCCGTTATACCACAACACACCAATGTCTTCGATAAAATGTCTTTTAATGGCAACAATAAAATGTACCTGTCAGAAATATATGTGCCTAACTAGCAGCATGGCCCGACGTTGCCCGTGCTTGATTCAAAAATCGTACGACTCATACAGCAATCGCTATCACTTGACTTAAAATATTTTTGCCCTTCCTTGCCTTTTTTTAAACGAGTGCCCTTTGGCGTGCTGATGTTGCTACATGCCTTACTTCTTGCCTATCTCATACTGCGAATTTTTTCTAAGCTCTATACTAAACATTAAATCTGTTACGAAAAAAGAACTAAACAAAATGAACACAATACGATCAGTTTTAAAAAAAGACTCGTAACTGGAAAAACCGAATGAAAAAAGAATGTTAACAACAAATACTTTTTCACACCCAACCCAGTTCTGCGGAATCAGAATCAATGTTGAGTTTAAGCAAGCGAATGGACCAAATGGAGTAAAGTGCCATGCAGATTTAAATTTTTCCCACTTGTGACGAATGCAGCTATCAATTTTTTTTGCATGCTAGCATGTTAGTTAACATTCGTGTCAGTCAGCTGTTGGCTCTCACGCTGGCCAATAGAATCTTCCTGCCTATTTGAGGCATCCAGCTATAGGCTCTCACTCTGGCCAGTAGAAATGGCTGCAAACTACATGAAAACTGCCGTAGAAGCATGAAAAATCGATTATTTCCAATATCGATGGGAGTTGGGAAATGCAAAGTCGGTCTTGGCCTTCCCGCTAATTTGGAGCATGCGCATGTAAATCCGTCGAAAATTGTGGTTGTGCATTCGTTACACACACACACACACACACACACACACCTTTTATAGATAGCGATTCAATTTTATTTAATCGAAGGTTAAAATGCTGAGATCAGTCAATTTAAACAGACGAACGATTCTCTTCTTTTTTTTTTTTAAATCCCAGAAGCTCTGAAAAGAATCTAATGATTCTTAAAGGCAACAAATTCCTGTCAATGCATTGCCGCCGACCTGGTTTTGTGTTTAATGACTCTATTAAGTGACATCTAATTTCTGAGGTGATCTGTATTAATTATAACATCAACGAAGTTAATGTCTGTTTAATAGATACTTTAGTGCTGAGCTATTGTTAGAATACAATCTGGGGCGCAAATAATGCTTAGTAAGTTGACAATTAAACGAATTGTTTTGATTGCATTCTTAAACGTCTTCAAGACTGATTTGCCAATCGACGCAACTTACATTTACGCAGAGAATTAGATGCGTCTTCGGTAAACTTGCAGTTATCTTTTTTCATAGATCCTGCCTCTGATCTAGTTAGTGTCCATATTTTGCTTCTCCAGCTGCAATCAATTATAGTCCAGACAGAAGGCTGAAATAAATGCGAGGGACTGGCTGAAAAGGAGTTTCTCCATTAAGAGCTTTCTTGTTTAAACGGTTTAAAGGATTTAAGGAGTTTCTGTTTTAAATGGTTTCTTGTTTAAGGAGTTTCGACATTAAGGAGTTTCTAGTTTAAAGAGTTTCTTTTTATGGAGTTTCCACTTTAAATGGTGTTTTGTTTAAGGAGATTTTAGTTTAAGGATTTTCTGGTTTAAATACTTTCGTGATTAAGGAATGTCTGGCTTCAGGAGTTTCTGCATTGAGGAGTTTCTGGTTTAAAGGGTTTCATATTTAATGGGTTTCTGTTTTAAATAGTTTCTTAAAGGAGTTTCTGGTTTAAAGAGTTCCTAGTTTAAAGAGTTTTTGGTTTAATCAAAGTATTTGTATCAATTACAAGCGCATGAGCTAAAAATAAAAACTACCTGTAATAATTGTGGTTATTGATATTTGACACAAAATCCCAAAACGGAGCATAGTAGGATGTTATCGTTGAAGTGTCACATATGCGGATATGTGCGGAAGATAGCGATTAACCCTAAATATGACCAGTTTACCATTGTAGAGATCGGGGAAGCATCCTCTTAGAAGGTTCAACAGGGTAGCGGTTAGTAGGAAGAAAACTGCGTGAGTGGGACTTATATCCGTATCCGGTAAATTGCACGAAACCAATTGGTCGAAAAATCATTTCTCGAACTATCAATTGCTCGAAAGGCAGTTTGTTCAAAACCTATGGTTAAAAAAAATAAAACTCCATTGTTTCTAATCATACTTATTATAAAACCCAGGTTGTGTGTGTGTGTGTCTGTTCGTTTATATATTGGATCGGATTTCCTACATTTTTCAACCGATTCCAACAAAACTTCACAGGACTACGTAAAATTAACTTGTGGTGGTTCTGACAGCGCCAAAAATTGGAAAAACACAATTGCTTTTGCACGAAATCAATTTGAAAACACGATTAGAGGCATCGCTTTCAGGAATGAAAGGTGGACAACTCATATCGAGTTATACTTATTATAAAACCCAGGTTGTTTGTGTGTGTCTGTGTGTTCGTTTATATATGGGATCGGATTTCCTACATTTTTCAACCGATTTCAACAAAACTTCACTTTTTTTTTGGCAGGTAGTGTTTCTTATTGTCTTGCACACTTTTTTCTTTATTTTTATATTCAGAATGCTTTTAAAATTCCATTTACAGTGTAACCCGGATATAAGAGAGTTGTCGGGACCGGAGAAGAAGTCTCTTATATCCGGGTTTCTCTTATATCAGGGTTTAGTCTATTTTGTTTAGGTAAGTATGGGCTCTAATTTGGGGCCAGAGAAAATCTCTCTTATATCAGGGTTTCTCTTATATCCGGGTTACACTGTACAAGACAATTGTTTATAATAAAATTCTCATAACGATTGAAAACAATGTTTTTGTTTGAGTTTGGGTTTGACCAATTCGTAAAAAAAAAAAAAGAACTAATTAAGACATGCGTGTCCGTCAACCTTAAACAATAATCTTTGTCAATTTTATTTTTCAGTCTTTATGATGGTCGATACTTGATCTATCTCTCACCGTTACATCCCCGGGCAACGCCGGGCTCTACTGATAGTATTTACTATAAGATAAAATAATACTACTTTATTGTTGTTAACTGAACAGTTAAAATTAAAGAACGAGTACATTTATATAACAGGTCTTATATTTTTTTTCTCGAAAGGCAGTTTGCCCGAAACCTGTGGTTAAAAAAAATAAAACACGTGCTAAGCATTTCCTTTTTTGGCACATTTCACGTAAATCTTATTGTTCACTGTTTTGTCTTTAATATATAGATATCCATCCAAACACAACTTCTTCTTTCCTTTTTCGCTCTCAACAAAAGTTATGTCCATCACTAGGGTTCGAGATCTCCAAAATTACTGACATAGAAATAGAAAACAAATATAGAAAAAAAAAAATCAGGACTGCTAAAGTTGAATGTTGTGGCTCCTTTTATATCCAACTCCGTTGACGTGTCGTGAGACGGCGCAGTTTATGTGGTGCTTCGAGCTTCAAAATTAATTCGAGCAATCTGCCTTTCGAGCAATTGATAGTTCGAGAAATTATTTTTCGATCAATTGATTTCGAGCAATTTACCTAGATTCACTTACATCTCACCAAAGGACTACCAATTGGTTCTCTACAATGGGCGTGGCATGTCGGGTCTTAGACTTGAAGATTAGAACTGGTGGAACAGGCTTATGTACTTCTGAACATTTTCCATGGAAATATTTTTAAAGCAGCAAGAGGCTTGCAACGTTTATTTAACACTCAGAAAACCCTTGCATCTTAGTGGCTTTATTGCCTTTGTTGTGGGTGAAAGGATTATTGAAAAATCCCAATATCGGCGAGTTAGTTCGATTTTTCAAAATAATAATTTTTTCATTTTTATTTATACAATCAAAAAACAGAACAAAAAATCATGACAATTTATTTACAAGAAAATTAAAACATAAAAATACTGTAGATATAAAATCATTATATCTACAGTATTTTTAATGGGGTGTTTGAAAACCCCATTAACCAAATGTTGTGGCAATGTCTAACAATCTCGACAATTAAGTAATTTTTAAAAAATTTTTATATAAATATACATGTTGATTGAAAAGTACCTTCCCGTTTTAAAATACTAATAATTTATTTATTAACTATAATTCTTATAAGAAATAGATAGGAGAGGAAATTGTTTAGCGTGAGGTTTTATTTAAAATTTGTTATTGGCAACAGATTTCGATTACAGCTTCTCCAGCCACCCAGGAGTCTCGTCAGCTGATTTTGCCAAGAACTCTTCTGGTATGAAAGACATAACTTCTTGGATTCGACCTTCATGTTCTTCAAAGTCTTGGTTTGGCATAGAATACTCCCTCCTTTAACCGACCCCCAAAGAAAAAAATCACAAAATGTTAAGTCAGGACTTCTGATTGGCCACTCATACATAAAATAGGGAGTTACTATTAAATCACCATATATATATATATATATATATATTATATAATTTATATATTTATATATATATATATATATATATATATATATATATATATATATATATATATATATATATATATACAATACAATATATATAATACATATATACACTATATAATTTATTTCTTTTTTCTTAAAATCGATTCTGTTATATTTCACCCTGACCCGGGGTGGTAGCACCTGTTAGGGTCCCAGTTATGGGCAAATAGTTAACCCCGAAACTGAGACTACATCCGCGTCCCGGGTATGACGATAAACTACATCCGCATCCTGGGTAAGACGATGGACTACGTCCAACAGCAGGGCCTCT